GGTTTTTTTAATAAAACATACTTTTAATTTTTACTATTTTCAAAAGATAAAGAAATATATGAAGAATGCTGTAGACATAGCATGATTCAAGTTCACACACCACATAATACCTATCAATTATCCATATCAACATTTCTTCTTCCAAATATAGTTTAGATTTGGATTTTTTTAAAACATCATTTCTGCTGTCTTCATTAGATGATCTTAGTCTATCAAAAGTTCTTAATAAAAAAATCAATACCGCCTTGGGAATAAGGTTGCCAGATTTATCAAATAAAAATACAAGATGCCCAGTTAAATTTGAATTTCAAATAAACAGTGAATAATTTTTTAGTATAAATATGTCCCAAAGATTACATTTGTTTAGTATGCATGTGTCTCAAACATTGTATTGGGACATGCTGATACTAAAACGTATTCGTTTCTCATCTTGTATTTTACCTCTCAGCCCTACTTGAGAAACATCATGGTAGTATACATGAACATAGATGTGGATGCCAAACAGCTCTAGGTGATTCTGGTATAGGCAGTCCCCGGTTATGAACGAGATAGTTCCTAAGTGTGCCTTTAAGTCGGATTTGTAGGTAAGTCGGAACAGGTGCATACAGTTATTATTTAGCTTTACTTTAGTGCAAGAAAAGGCTCAAAGCCTTTTCAGTAATTTAAAAGCTCCCCGTGCAGTAAGTGAAGGTGATTGTGATGAAGAATTTGTTGCAAGTAGGGGTTGGTTCAGTCCTTTCATACTGTGGGCAAATTTACATAACATTAAAGGGCATGTACAAGTTGTCCATAAGTTGGACACGCGTAACCTGGGCACTTACTGTATTTAAGTAGCTGTGTGACCTTGGGCATGTCACTTAACCTACTTGGACTTCAGTTTCATTATCTGTAAAGTGAGGGCAAATAATACTTAGTTTGTAGGTTTTTAATAAGGATTTAAAACACCTGGCACATAGTAGCTTTACATTAAAGAATAGCTATTACGCTAAACCATTAGATTGAAAATAGAAGGGTACATCCAGATGTTAGTGACAGTTTACCAGATCATAAGCTTAACTGGTAATAAAATATACACAAGCTTTAACCTCCCTTCTCTTCTACTTGCCTCCTCTTCCATGTTACTTTCCAGAAAGCATACAGCTTGTTTTGGTGTCAGAGCCTGAATATATGTTGCCTTTCCACATTGTCATTTTTTTCTTTCCTAAATTGCAATTTTATTCCAATCCTGCCTTCCTCAAACATCAGTTTTTTAAATTGTTACTTTTTAGTGTTATAAAATATAACAACATTTGTCAGTTTACCTTATTTCAGATGTGCAATTTAGTGATCTCAATTACATTAATCATGTTGTGCAGTCATCACTCATAATTGTTGCCAAATTTCATCACCGTAAACAAAAACTCACTGCTCCCTAAACAATGGTTCCCCCTTTTTCCCTCCCTCCTGCCCCTGGTAACCACTAACAAACTTTGGTCTTCATATATTTGTCTATTCTGATTTTATATAAGTGAGATCGTATACAATATTTGTCCTTTTGTGATTGACTTATTTCACTAAGCATAATGTTTTCAAGTCTCATTCATGTTGTGGCATGTATCAGGGCTTTGTTTTTCTTTGTGGCTGAGTAATATTCCATTATATGTATATACCACATTTTGTTTATCCATTCATCCATTGATGATCATTTAGGTTGTTTCCACCTTTTGACTAATGTGAATAGTGCTGCAATAAACATTGGTGTTCATACCGTATTTTTACACAAATAACACACGCTTTCTACATTTGTTTGCCAACTGGACCCTCCTCTAGCAGGTTATTTCCATAAGCGCTGCTGTGCCAATTTTTTTTTTTACAGCAACATGTAATTAGCACAGCACACTTAGGAAAATACCTCAAGGTGGAGGGCACAATAGGCAAACAAACGTAGAAGGTGTATGTTATTTGCATAAAAGTACTGTATGTTGGTTTGCATTGTTGCTTTCAGATCTCTTGGGTATATATACCTAAAAGTGGAATTGCTGAACAATGTGGTAGTTCTATGCTTAACTTTCTGAGGAACCTAAAATTATTATTTTATTGTGATATAATTTATATACCATAAAATTTGCCATCTTAAAGTATACAATTTGGTGGTTTATAGTATATTCACAAGATTGTGCAAACATCACCACTAATTCCAGAACATGTTCATCATCCCAAAAAGAAACCCCATGCCCATTATTAGTTTCTTCCTGTTCTCCTCTCCCCGATCCTGTGGCAACCACTAATCTATTTGTTGTCTATATGGATTTTCCTATTCTAGACATTTCATATAAATAGAATCTTACAATATGTGGCCTTTTGTGTCTGGCTTATTTCACTAAGCATAATGTTGTCAAGGTTCATCCATGTTGTAGCCTGTATCAGTTCTTCATACTTTTTATTACTGAATAGTATTCCATTGTATATATATGTATACCACATTTTGTTTATTCATCGGTTGATGGATATTTGGTTTGTTTCCACGTTTTGGCTATTGTCAATAATGCTGCTATGAACATTTGTATGCAAATTATTGTGTGACATATATTTGAATTTCTCTTGGGTATATACTTAGGAGTGGAAATGTTATGTCATATGATAACTCCATGTTTAACATTTGGAACACGGCTAAGCTATTATTCACAGTGGCTGCACCATTTTACGTTCCCACTAGCAATGTTTGAGTGTTCCAATTTCTCTTATTTCTTGTGAGCCCTTGTTATTATCTGTCTTCTTGGTTATAATTATCACAAATGGTATCTCATTGTGGCTTAGATTTGCATTTTCCTGATGCAAAACTTACTTTATAATTTTTGGTGAATAAATTATCTGTATAAAATACTCTAAGTTGTCAACTAGGGGGTGATTTTGTCCCCCAGGTGACATTTGGTAATCTCTGGAGACATTTTTGGTTGTCACAACTGGAGAGGGGTACTAATGGCATCTAGTGGGTAGAGGCCAGGGATGCTGCAAAACATCCTGCAATCTATCAGATAGTGCGCCACAACTGAGAATTATCCAGCCCCAAATGACAATAGTGCCAGTGTTGAGAAGCCCTGCTCTAAAATTATGATTCTGTTATTCCAGTTCATTTAAAGTGGCAGTTTTTGAGTTTGCCTGCAGGTGCCAGATCATTCTGTGGTCTTAACCAAATGCTTAGGGTATTAGCCAAACAAGGGCAATAGAACAGGAAGGTACTAATAAAGGTAGAGTCATTTAGATTTTGTAGAATGACATCATTTTTTTCAAGTCAGGAGATTTTTGAAAGTGTTTTCAGGGCTATTTTAAACTATTGTGTCTTTTAACATGAGGAAAGAATATCTATATTTCCGTATAGACTCTTCTTGGCAAAGCCTTATACATATGTTCTTGTGATTGAGTTCTTCACGGTTTCTGGAACAAAATATTTTTTTATGAAACAGTTCATATATGCTATGAAGTAGATCTAATCAACCATAGTTTGGAAAAAAAGAGAAACTTGATGGAAAGAACTTGCATTTAATATGTCACTGTATTAGTAACTGGTCTGAACTCAGAGGAAGTTAATATTGTTATTCCAGCTGATCAGTTTACATCAGCTTTCTCCCACAGCATATATTAAAATGTAGTAATTCACTTGAGTTCCACAAATAATCTGTCCAAAATAAAACGGACTATAGCTTGAAATATGCTTCAGGATTTAAGGTTATGGCATGTAAAAACCTATTAAACTTGTAGATATTTCTTCTCTGTGGTAACGTTGCCCATGTTTCATGCCCTGAATCATTTAGATGTAATCATTACCATAACCACCATCATTATCATAGACTATAGCTAAAATTTCTTGACCATAATACCTCAATCTCTGTCCTAAGTACTTCATGTGTGTATCTCATTGGTATGGATTGATTTGTGTCCCCCATAATATGTGTTAACTTGGCTAGACCATGATTCCCAGTATTGTGTGACTGTCCACCATTTTGTCATCTGATGTGATTTTCCTATATGTAAAACCCTGGTGGCATAGTGGTTAAGAGTTTGGCTGCTAACCAAAAGGTCAACAGTTCAAATCCACCAGGCACTCCTTGGAAACCCTGTGGGGCAGTTCTACTCTGTCCTATAGAGTCGCTATGAGTCAGAATCGACTTAATGGCAGCGGGTTTTGTTTGGTTTTTGTAAACCTACCTCTATGATGTTAATGAGGTGGGAATAGTGGCAGTTATGTTAATGAGGCAGGACTCAATCAACAAGATGAGGTTGTGTTTTAAGTCCGTCTCTTTTGAGATATAAAAGAGAGGCCAGCAGAGAGACATGGGGACCTCATACCACCAAGAAAGGATTGTTTGGAGCAGAGCGCGTCCTTTGGAGCCTAGGTTCCTGCGCTGAGAAGCTCCTAGACCAGGGGAAGACTGATGACAAGAACCTTCCTCCAGAGCCAACAGAGAGATAAAGCCTTTCCCCGGAGCTGACGTCCTGAATTCAGACTTCTAGCCTACTAGACTGTGAAGGAATAGATTTCTGTTTGTTAAAGCTATCCACTTGTGGTATTTGTGTTATAGCAGCACTAGATAACTAAGGTGCTCATTTTTCCTCACAACGATCCTATGAGATGTTGTTTTTAAGCCTCATTTTACGGATGAGAGGAAAATGTACAATAAAGTGGTGAAATACTTAATGAGTCATATGTCCATATTAAACCTCTTCTTGTGTATCAAAACTATTTCATATTTCAACAGTGGATAAAGTATGTTTATGTTAAATCTGTAACAATGATGTCCCTAATTTTCTGGGACCACAGGTAATGGCAATTGAATCCTAAGTCATTTCTAATTTTTGTTTTTAAAAGAAGAGATATTTTAAGATTATTTCTCTCAAAATTATATGTGTACACCTTGAGGCTGCTATAATGCCTTCCCATCTCTGTGCATTTATATAATTTTTAAATTGTGCAACTCCTCAATTTTTAACAGAAAGATTTTTGTTTAACTTTGTATGTACAGGAAGCAGTGAAAGAAATCAATAAGAGAAGGGAAATGGAAGAGAAGACTAGGAGGGCCAAGCTCGCCAAAGAGAAGGCTGAGCAAGAAAAGTTGGAACGCCAGAAGAAAAAGAAACAACTCATTGATATAAACAAAGGTATGAAACTATTTCCAGTTTTTTACATTATGTATAAAGTGCAAAATAACTGTACTTAATATTGAAGTGGTTGTAAAGTGAATAATTGCCATGGTCCTAGTAAAAAATTCACAACATTATTAGTTATTTGTATTAATTTTTTTTTATAATACTATCTGTATTTTTTTTTATTGTGCTTTAGATGAAGGTTTACAGAGCAAATTAGTTTCTCATTAAACAGTTAATACCCATATCGTTTTGTGATATTGGCTGCCAACCTCATGACGTGTCAACACTCTCCCTTTCTCTACCTTGAATTCCCCATTACCAGCTTTCCTGTCCCCTCCTGCCTTCTCATCCTTGCCCCTGGGCTGGTGTGCCCATTTAGTCTTACTTTTTTTTTTTAATTGGCCTGTCTAATCTTTGGCTTAAGGGTGAACCTGTGGAGTGACTTCAGTACTGAGCTACCTGTATTTCTTATCAATTGACACTGAGCACTCAGGATTTTTGATAACGAAAGCAAGGTGATATATTGTTGAAGTAGTCTTTCCTCTTCTTTATTTTACCAAATTATATTATGGAGTGATGAGGGTAGAAGAGGGTGAGATAAAAGAGAATAACTGTTACGGGGACGAGTTTTATGGCTCTTAATTTCATTTTGTTGACCCATCTGTTAAGGGTGCAGTAACAATTAATAGTCTTTGTGAGGTTGAAAACTTGAAGGCATAGTGGATATTGACAGCACTATTACAAGTTCAGAAAAATAGGGAGGAGCATCTTGTTCAGTTTTGAGCCTAAGTGCAAAATGCTGGTATACGCTCACAGTACAAAGTAAATTATTACCTTGGTTTGCAGCAATGACTATATATTAAAGGTGGATTTTGTTTGGTTTTGCTTTTTTTTTTTTTAAAGAAGAGGGGAAAAGAATGGCACCAAATCTCTATGCTCTGAAAATTTATGAATAAAAAAGCATAGCATTTGCTATCTAAGGGCTAGAGAATTTTAAAACAAATAAAACGTGAACAAAATAGCATGATTAATTTGGACCACCTATTATAAAAACAGGAGCCCTGGTAGTACAATGGTTAAGCCCTTGGCTGCTAACTGCAAGGTCCATGGTTTGAACTCACCCAGCTGCTCTGCAGGAGAAAGATGTGACAGTCTGCCCCCATAAAGATTTACAGCCTTGGAAACCCCATGGGACAGTTCTGCTCTGTCTTGTAGGTTTGCTATGATTTGGAATTGACTTGATGGCAATGAGTTGGTTTTTTTAAATTATAACAATAACAATAGTAAAAATTACAAGCATTTATTTAATATCAACCATGTGCCAATCAAGGAGCCCTGGTGGCGCAGTGGTTTAAGCGCTGGGCTGCTAACCCAAAGGTCGGTGCTTGGAACCTACCAGCTGGGAGAAAGATGTGGCAGTCTGCTTCCATAAAGATTTACAACCTTGGAAACCCTACAGGGCAGTTCTACCCTATCCTACAGGGTCGCTATGATTTGGAATTGACTCAACGGCAGTGGGTTTTTTTTTTTTTATATGCCAATCACTTTTCTAAGATTTTTACAAATTTTAAGTCAATTAATACTCATAATCTCTTTATGAGGTAGGTACTCTTGTTATCTCATTTCACAGATGAAAAAACTGAAACTCTTAGAAGTTAAGAACTCAACCAAAGTCACACAGATAGGAAGTATTAGTACCAATTTTTAAGGACCCCTGGTGGTGCAATGGTTTTTAAGCGCTCAGCTGCTAATTAAAAGGTTGACAGTTTGAACCCACTTAGTAGTTCCGTGGGAGAAAGACCTGTGGTGTTCTTCTCCCATAAAGAGTTCTACTCTGTCACATGGGGTTGCTATGACTGGAAATCAACTTGACATCACCTAACAATAACAACAGCACCAATATTCAAATCCAAGTAGTCTGGCTATAGCATCTTTGCACATATCCATGCATCTGTCAAGTGATGATGAAGTTGATGATGCTAATAATAATTAATAGCAAGAATAAGAAAAACTAACATTTAAATAGCACTTAGCCAGGGACAGGGACTACTATTTTAGGAGCTTTTCATATACGAACCCATTTAATCCTCACAACAACCCTATTAACCAAATTTAAAAAAAAAACAAAAAAAACAAAAAAACCCTTGCTCTCGAGTCAATTTGACCCATAGCGACCCTGTAACACTTTCCTCATAGGATTGTTTTGTTATGAAATGAACAGCCATACTAGGAAAGTGTTATTATCTCATTTTAAGATGAAAAAACTGAGGCTCAGGGAAGTTAAGTAACTTGCCCAAGGTCACAAAGATAGTAAAAGGTAGAACAAAGATTTGAACCCAGGCAGTCCATGACCAGAGTTAATTATGCCCTGGTGGTACAGTGATTAAGCGTTCAGCTGCTAACCAAAAGGTTGGCAGTTCGAATCTACCAACTGCTCCTTGGAAACCCTATGGGGCAGTTCTGCTCTGTCCTATAGGGTCACTATGAGTCAGAATGAACTTGACAGCAACAGGTTTCTGTTTGGTTATTATGCATTTTAATTATAACAATTAATTTTAACTAATAATCATTAGTAATTATTCTTCATTAATGCCTACTTAGTAGCTCATCTGAATTGATATCTATTTCATTAAGTTTATTCTTCATATGTTTAAAATATGTGAACATTTTCAGGAATCGACTGTAGTTTATCTTTTCTACCCAGTAAACATAATTTTAAGGGAAAGAAAAGAAGTAATGTTATATAAATAAAACCGAAACCAAATCTGTTGCCATTGAGTCGATTCTGACTTACAGCAACCCTATAGGACAGAGTAGAACTGCTCCTTAGGGTTTCCAAGGAGTGCCTGGTGGATTCAAACTGCCAACCTTTTGGTTAGCAGCTGAACTCTTAACCACTACGCCACCAGGGTATCCAATAGCCAAGGTAAAATATAGTACTGACATAATTTAGCAAAAAAAAAACCTCATAAATAGATCAAGAGAATTGGTCCTGACTGAAGGTCACTCAGTTAGGAGGTAGACACTTAGAGCACAGCCTGGCAGTGTATATTGGTAGGAAGGGAGCACTTAAAAGGTGATGGAGTTAATAGAAAAGTGCTGAGAGGTAGCTCCCTTGTGTGCATTGAGGAGTAGTGAAGGAAGAGGCTGGAGAGATAGTAGGGGACAGATTGTGAGCATTCCTTTGTGCTTTGCTAAGGGCCTACCCTGAAAGCTATGGGAAGCCTATAAATGTTTATAAACTAAAAAGTGATGTGCTCAGGTAGGATTCTTCAAAAGATCATTTTGACAGAAGCATAGAGAATGGATTTGGAAGGGAAAGGCCTGAGACAACAAACATTATGAGGATATTGTCCTAGTTGTGACAGGAGACAACGGTGGCCTGCATGCACTAATGTAGTGGAGGTCAGGTTACAGGTATTAAAAAGATGGCACTGACAGGCCCTGATGACTGATTAGAGGTGAAAATTGAGGAAAGGAGGCATTGAGAAGGTAGTACCCTTCACAGAGAAAGAAAATTCAGGAATAGAACAGAATTGGTGGGGAAAGTTATAATGATTAATATCATTTTGAACATGTTTAGTTTTCAGTTGCTTTGTAAAGATTGGAAATGTCTAAGAAGCCCTTGTTTAAATGAGTATGAAAATGAGGAAAGTGATCTGGACTAGACAGAAAGACTTGAAAATCAGGGGTTTTTATTACTGTTTAAATCTATGGGTTTGAATGAGGTCACCAGGATAAAGTATAAAGCTATTTGGTCTCAGGACCCGTTTACACTCTTAAAAATTATTGAGAACCATAAAGATCTTTTGTTTATGTGGATCGTATCTATTGAATTTACCATATTAGATATTAAAACTGAGATAATTTTTAAATTATTTGTTAATTCAGTTAAAATAGCAATAATAAACCTATTACATGTTAACATGAAAAGTAACTGTATTTTAGAAAAACAGTGAGAAGAGAAAAATTTAGTGTTGTAAATCTCTTTAAAGCCTGGCTTAGTAAAAGAGCTTGATTCTCATACCTGCTTTCTGCATTCAGTCTAACGCAATATCATTCATCATGCAGATTCTGGAAACTCCACTACACATTCATGAAAAAATGAGAGTGAAAAAGACAAAAAGGTGTCAGTATTATTATGAAAATAGTTTTAACTTTGTAGATCCTCTGAAGGGTTTCGGGGACACTTAGGAGACCTTAAGACCACATTTTGAGTATCTCTGGGGTTAACAGTGAAAAGAGCAAGCAGTCAAAACGATGTCTATGTAGATTTTTGCCAGTAACATAATTTCTCACCCACACCGTGCTCCACGCTGCACCCTCCAAATATTTATCAACTTTTCACTATTTCCCTAAACATATGCTTCTAACGAGAAATAAATTTTATATTATATTATAATCTATATTTTCATTTGCCAAGATTTGGTTAATTTTCTTTTCAAATATGATTGAAGCCATAAAATAACCATCCAAATAAAGTTTTTGTGTTAATGCTTACCTGAGTGATCTGAACATGGAAGACACATTTTTAAATAGCATTTTTCTCTTGTGTGTTTTTACCTTATTTCCATTTATAGATCCAATAGTAAGCTGCACCATTTGGTTCTTGATTTGTGTTCTACGCATTGTAAAATTATTTATTGTAGCATTATTTTACACTTGGAGTGAGTGTGTGTTAGTACTTATAAATGTTTCAAAAAGAGATCCTTACTTTGGAAACTTGTAGTCTTAATTAAGAAAATGAAATGGTATGGAAAAGAAAGAATAAGAAGAGTTGGATATCAAGATGGTGCTCAGTGTCAGTGAGTTTCTCAAACACTATCTTTTAAAATGTGCTGTTGTTAACTAGGTGGAAGGCAATTGCAAACACTCTGAGAGCAGTAAAGGAAGCATGGTGAAGCCACATAAATGTGAATTCATGAGATGTGAAAGCCTATAGAAGACCTGAGAATAAGGTGCAGTCAGAAAGTGATTTAGAAAACTTTAAATATGTCCAGTTAGAATGTTGT